TAGAATATTGTACTTAGATAGAATATTGTATATTCATTAGAGATTTGCTTTCCTTTCTCTTATTTCTTTTTCTTCTATAAATAGGGCATATATATTGTTCATTGTTAATAAGAAAAATATCTTATTCCCGTTTTTCAACTTCATGGTATCAGAGCCATTCCAATGACAGAAACTGCCACCACCAACAGAGGGTCAATGACATCCGAATCTTTCAATGAAGGAACGGAGGCTACCTCTGCCGTAAGTGGAGGAATTGAAGGTTCATCCTTTCAATTCACGGTAGAAAAATTGGATGGACGAAATTACAGGGAATGGGCGCATTCTATCAAATTGATTATTGATGGAAAAGCCAAACTTGGGTACCTGACTGGAGAGACTAAGATGCCTGCCTCAACCGACACAGTTCTCCTACAGAAGTGGAGATCGGAGAACTCCATGGTGACTGCGTGGCTCATCAACTCCATGAGGCCCACAATTGGAAAGACATACCTGTTTCTACCCACTGCAAAAGACGTTTGGGAAGCTGTGAAAGAGACTTATTCAGATTCTGAAAACTCCTCCCAGTTTTTTGAAATTAAATCGAAGCTGTGGCAAACCAAGCAGGGAGAACGGGATGTAATCGACTACTACCTTGAGATGACTGCGCTCTGGCAAGAACTCGATCTGAGTTCGGAAGAGAAGTGGAAGTGCCCCGAAGATTGCGCCTATTACCAGAAAAAGCTGGAGAATGAGAGAGTTTTTGAATTCCTCGCTGGGCTTCACCGTGACCTCGACGATGTTAGAGGTCGAATCCTCGGTCGACAGCCACTACCATCACCGCGAGAGGTGTTCGCGGAGGTAAGGCGAGAGGAGAACCGCCGGAAGGTGATGATGAATGGAAGCAGCTCGTTCGACTCTGCAACGTCGGGGATCGAAGGCTCAAGAATGGGCGTGAAAGGGATTGGGCCTCCAAATAATGGGCCTCCAAACTTTAAAATGGATCCATCAAAAATTCAAAACGAGGCTAATGTTGGGCTCAATTTTACTAATGTTGGGCCTGGCGGAATGGGCCTATATAAAAAGGGGTCAGCAGTTGGGTCAGGCTCAAAACAAAAGGGTCGACCCTGGTGTGAACACTGTCGTAAGTCAGGACATAAGGAAGACACATGCTGGGACTTACACGGAAAGCCGACCGATTGGAAATCGAGGCAAAATAATAGAAATCGTCACCAAACATATATTTCAAATCAGAAAGCAATTAAAGCAGTCCCGCAGGAAATAGGATATTTCTGTAACTATCAGTAACAATAATTGCAATGCCAAATTCAATAGTGATACCAAGTTCTTTTCACCTTTTGACATCACATCAGAGTATTCTTTCTATTAGAATTTTGAAAGGAGCATATGGACAGAAGAATTTTTGCAAACTCTTCAAGTAGTCAATCACATGCTGCATTCAAGCATATGAGAGATTATAGATAAAAAATAATCAAAGTAACTTAGATGGAAAACATAATTACTAACCATCAGGATTTCCTAAAGGAGGCACGCCATGTCCACCAGCACCCATTCGAAGAATTATTGTAATAGCTGGATTGATAAATGCATGCTGGCTTCTCCTCATCTGAAATGGCAAAACTATAAAGATTCAGTCAATTTTATCCATACACTTAAGAGTATACTGGCAATATAAAAGGGTGGTCAGCATGACAATAGGATCTGGAAGCAGCATTTACCTCATCTATGTCTCCAATTGGTATAATAACCTGCCAAAATGGAAACATAAACATAAGAAAAGAAACAATGCCTCGAAAGACCTAGTAGCATACAGCTGAAGTCCAAAACCAAAAGGACATGACCAGGGGCAAAGCCAGGCTGCAATAAATTTCATTTAAGCTGGGCTGATATTTTAAAAAGTATTACATAAAAATGAAGTTAAGGAGAAAAATTAAATGGGCCTTGGGCTGGCCTAGGTCACCCCTTAAATCCATTCCTGACAATGACAAGCTTTGGCAAGTAAATTATTCATTTCAAACCATATGCTTGAAAATAGTACAGCCTTCAATATTTATCTTAACATAGATGTATGCGAAATTTGACTCATTCATTGGATGGTTTCTAAGAAAATTTTGCACTCCACTGTAGTTCTGAAGCTCAAGTAGAAGGCGAGCAACTTTAAGCAAATGCTTTCAATAAGAAGTGGACCAGAGCTTAGGTTTTGAGAAAAAATGAATCAACCTTTTACTAAGAGCAGTGAAGAAAATCTGACAACTGTTTCTTTGGACTGTAGTCTATGTCATTGATGCATCACATGGTCAGATATCTGATTTTTACATAAAAGACCTATGTTATCACAAAGTCTACACTCGAGTATTTTCAATGGATTTTGCTTAGGTGAGGCAAAAAGGTATAAAAGTGATCTGTCAAGATAAATTCCCAAAAGGCACCACAAAATACTTCCAAATGTAGATCATTGCAAATGATAAAATTGCAAACGGTCATGGTGACTGATTAACTTCCAAAAATTCTATCTGTACGACTAAAATGTGTATGCCACATGCAAAATTATTCTTTACAGACTTACAGTGACAACAGAAGGCATCTGTAAGGCAACTTTTTGGAGAGAGATAGTCAAGTTGGGGTGAATTCTCAAAAGTGTTCACCTTTGAGATCAAGGCAAGCCTCAAGGAGGCATTTTTTATGCACCCATGCTTATGCACAATAGTCAAAAATCAAGTTAAATAGATTTCTTTCAACTTCTAAGTTCATAAAGCTTCTAAATGATGGTTTTCGTGCATTCCACCTCTCTGATTTATTTTTTCTCGAGGTATTAGCACTTAACCATTGATTCCAGCTTTAGAGCTTATGTCATTAATACATAATAGTATAATTCCTATTATTAAACATTTACGTAACTCGTGGTAAATGCAATGCTTATGACTCTACCCAAAGGACACTAGGAAATCAACATAAGCCTTTAATCCAAGTGCCATTTCTTAGTTTAGTCATATGCATTGTTGAAGATAAGATATAAATGATATACGAGTGGCCTACCACTGAAATTTTACAGCAATTGGTTCATCATGATATCATAGTAAGTGAACGTTCAAGTCTCGCCACTCATTAATTAAAAAGCGTGCATATGTAAGGCTTTAATTGAAAAAAATGAAGCATGCCTACATGTGAGGAGTTGTGTTGAAGATAATATTAAAATGATATACATGTGCTCTAATCTATCAGTTTAAGCTTTTAGAATAAGTGGTTTAACAAATATTCCATGCTCCGTAACCCAAATTTCAGTACATATAATAGTAAAACATGAACAGTTAAGAAAATCTTTTGAGAACATAAGATATAGGGATCTGGCTATATGCACAAAAGTTCAGAAAACAAACAGATGATACTATATTTCCAGAGGAACACCATCAACTTTTCAACTGAGCTCTTGAGAATATGATGTATGAGGACCAGTTACATGTGCCGACAATCAGAAAATTACATATCAAATCATGAAAATTTTAGCCAGAAATATAAAATGATGGCAAAGATCAAGGATTTCTTTTTGGAAAAAAATTTGAACTCTCAGCAGAAGCTAAATCAATCATGGCAACCAAAGTTCAGAGATTGACCTTCATTTGCTTTGAAAAAACATTAGAATGGAAGCAGATGTGCCATGCTGATACGTACATACGGCCATGATATAAAAATGACCTCTCAAGTGCACATGAATAGCTATGTTCAACAGCCTGGAAATACCATCATTAATATCATCAACTCAATTCAACTAAAATGAATCAATACATGATTACATTTTGCCCAAAACTGGACTATAAGCATTCCAAAGAGATGTTAATAATTAAGCATGTCTTCGAAATAAGTTGATGACCATGCCTCATCAGGAAGAAGATTAAATATTGTTTGTAGTGGCCCAGGTATCTGATGAACAAATGTAGGCCCTTGTTTATCCATACCCTCCTTCGTGTGATAGCACCAGCATAGCCATTCAAACCCCTATAAATGAATCAAGTACAATGGCTCAGGAACATCAGTAGCTTACTAAAAAACAAATGTCATTGAGGAAAAGACATGGCAAGATAATTTTGAAATTAGCATTAATAATAAACAGAGACAACCAGTTCCATTTGTCAAGTTCCAGCAGAAATATATACAATAGATCAACCTGTAGGAAACTGCCTGATATTTTCATTAGTAAGGACGGAAGTAGAAAAGTACAACATTTCTTGAAAAGAATCCATGTCATTAAATTGCTGGAATCAAATTATTGTCATCAAAACAATGCCACACAAAGGAGATGTACACTTGCAAAGATAAGAAGACCTTCCACTGCATTCCTAGTAACAGAATCAATTTTCTACTGAAGAACCCACCACAGTCAAAAAAGCTACTACATGATATACTCATTAGCCAACAAGAGTAATGAAAGCTTGATTATTCGATAGTGCATTCTAGTCCAGCAACAGTTTCTCAGCAGGAACTAGTGAAGTAGATAGAAATACTTAGTACAGCAACAAGAAGTACTATTTAACATCCTAGTCATTTGTTCCTTTAATATCCAAAACTTGTACACAGTGTAGAAGGGTAATCAGATCCAGTATGGGTTTGATCTAATTATTTCAGTATAAGAGTCTGAAATCATTTTTCTCCTTGTACTGGCAAATGCGCATTGTTATTGGCTGTGCAACTATTGCACAATATTCTTAGTAAGCTCTCATTGTGCAAATTAAGGTTGACATCTGTACAGTATCACCTTCCACACTAGGACATTTTTGTCCTTTTTAACATTTTTGCCAGTCTCAAGAGGACATCTTTGTACTCAAATATTATATTTCTAACGATTCATGTCATCTATTATTAAATTTCTAATGATTCTATTAACAAAATTTCTATTAATTTATACAAAAAAAAAAAAAGGAGTATTAACAAAAGTAGGGGATCATACCTTCTTCTCAGCTTCTAACATTGCATGATAGTTCTTTACTGAACGTTGTAAAGCTCTCAGCGCATTATTTCTGTTCCAGAATGATGCAAACATATATCTGACACGACCTAGAAGAAATAAATGGATGATAAGGCTTATACATGTAAAAAAGAGTCCGCATAACGTCTAGACACGAAATCAATGCATATTTTTGGCTTATAAATTATTATCTGCAGATGGCAATTGGAGCAGTTAAACAATTGAAACTGATAATTGGATATTAGTTTATCTAGCAAGATTAAATGTGCATTGTGTCCCAGATCATGGATAAATCTCAGGGCCTGCCCGACCACCCCAAAAGGAAACTAAAAGACAAAGCTTCCAGAAACAGATCTTCTATTACCACTTCCACTTGTAACAAATATAAAAATGAGTTATGGCATAGACTTTTCTATTTTTTATTTATTTTTGTTTGAATTGTTAGATCTCTAGTAAAGAAAAAAGGCTTTTTTTTAAAATGCTATATGAACATCGAAACATGTCACTGCAGCTACCAAAAGAGATAGAAACACACTTCCACTCTATAGTACATAAATTTAGGTGCATTTTAGAATTCTAACAACATTTTATCCTACTGTTTTCTTTCTTTTGAAGTACAAGATTTTTGCAAGTCAGATGTTCAAAGTTTGCCAGTTTCAAATCTAATCGTCCAATATTATTCTTTAGTTTGGAATTGTAGGTTTTCAATCTAGCATACTATCATGATGACGTATGATACTGTGCATATTGTATGTTTTTCCTGTTTATAAAATTTAACTCCACTAATTCGTGATTTGCGTCCTAACTCCATAAATCCTGAGGCAGATGTTAACCACATCCACTTACTGCCTACTCATATATACACTGTCTCACAACAACACAAAAGGGATCCAGTGTACAGAAGCCACTATGCATGAGATCTGTTCCATTCTATTCTGCAGTTTACTTACATGTATGCCAAGAAAAAAAAAATAACGACAACAAGGAAAGGAATTGACCAAACAATTTGAAGCTCAATGTTAATAACGGAAAAATATAAATAAATATTTAAAATGAGAACTGATGGGCACTTGAGACTTCAAAGTCAACTTTTTCCATCCAAATTTTTTGACAAAATGGCATGTGCCTACTACCAATAGGCTTCGCAAGTGAGAAATAACGTCAGGCCTACTCTAAATACGTCCATAATTTTGTTTTGTTCAATAAGATAAGACTCTTTACACTGGTGTCGACATATCTACCTGTCACTGAACCATTATATATTTCACAACAGGAAGCAATTAGAGTCGAGCAGATCACTCTGGGGCTTGACAAAAAATGTTGCATTATGAAGGCACAATATCCTAGATTGTGCCCAGCAAAGATTGAGCTGTGTAATCCAGACACCCAACATATATTTCAAATCAGAAAGCAATAAAAGCAGTCCCGCAGGAAATAGGATATTTCTGTAACTATCAGTAACAATAATTGCAATGCCAAATTCAATAGTGATACCAAGTTCTTTTCACCTTTTGACATCACATCAGAGTATTCTTTCTATTAGAATTTTGAAAGGAGCATATGGACAGAAGAATTTTTGCAAACTCTTCAAGTAGTCAATCACATGCTGCATTCAAGCATATGAGAGATTATAGATAAAAAATAATCAAAGTAACTTAGATGGAAAACATAATTACTAACCATCAGGATTTCCTAAAGGAGGCACGCCATGTCCACCAGCACCCATTCGAAGAATTATTGTAATAGCTGGATTGATAAATGCATGCTGGCTTCTCCTCATCTGAAATGGCAAAACTATAAAGATTCAGTCAATTTTATCCATACACTTAAGAGTATACTGGCAATATAAAAGGGTGGTCAGCATGACAATAGGATCTGGAAGCAGCATTTACCTCATCTATGTCTCCAATTGGTATAATAACCTGCCAAAATGGAAACATAAACATAAGAAAAGAAACAATGCCTCGAAAGACCTAGTAGCATACAGCTGAAGTCCAAAACCAAAAGGACATGACCAGGGGCAAAGCCAGGCTGCAATAAATTTCATTTAAGCTGGGCTGATATTTTAAAAAGTATTACATAAAAATGAAGTTAAGGAGAAAAATTAAATGGGCCTTGGGCTGGCCTAGGTCACCCCTTAAATCCATTCCTGACAATGACAAGCTTTGGCAAGTAAATTATTCATTTCAAACCAGATGCTTGAAAATAGTACTGCCTTCAATATTTATCTTAACATAGATGTATGCGAAATTTGACTCATTCATTGGATGGTTTCTAAGAAAATTTTGCACTCCACTGTAGTTCTGAAGCTCAAGTAGAAGGCGAGCAACTTTAAGCAAATGCTTTCAATAAGAAGTGGACCAGAGCTTAGGTTTTGAGAAAAAATGAATCAACCTTTTACTAAGAGCAGTGAAGAAAATCTGACAACTGTTTCTTTGGACTGTAGTCTATGTCATTGATGCATCACATGGTCAGATATCTGATTTTTACATAAAAGACCTATGTTATCACAAAGTCTACACTCGAGTATTTTCAATGGATTTTGCTTAGGTGAGGCAAAAAGGTATAAAAGTGATCTGTCAAGATAAATTCCCAAAAGGCACCACAAAATACTTCCAAATGTAGATCATTGCAAATGATAAAATTGCAAACGGTCATGGTGACTGATTAACTTCCAAAAATTCTATCTGTACGACTAAAATGTGTATGCCACGTGCAAAATTATTCTTTACAGACTTACAGTGACAACAGAAGGCATCTGTAAGGCAACTTTTTGGAGAGAGATAGTCAAGTTGGGGTGAATTCTCGAAAGTGTTCACCTTTGAGATCAAGGCAAGCCTCAAGGAGGCATTTTTTATGCACCCATGCTTATGCACAAAAATCAAAAATCAAGTTAAATAGATTTCTTTCAACTTCTAAGTTCATAAAGCTTCTAAATGATGGTTTTCGTGCATTCCACCTCTCTGATTTATTTTTTCTCGAGGTATTAGCACTTAACCATTGATTCCAGCTTTAGAGCTTATGTCATTAATACATAATAGTATAATTCCTATTATTAAACATTTACGTAACTCGTGGTAAATGCAATGCTTATGACTCTACCCAAAGGACACTAGGAAATCAACATAAGCCTTTAATCCAAGTGCCATTTCTTAGTTTAGTCGTATGCATTGTTGAAGATAAGATAAGACAACCAGTTCCATTTGTCAAGTTCCAGCAGAAATATATACAATAGATCAACCTGTAGGAAACTGCATGAAAATGGAATCCTTTATTTTTCCAAAGATAACAAATAGCAAATGTTGCACTTGCAGAACACATGTAAGGTTAAAAAATAGCATAGCTTCAGAAATTCAGATAAAGAATGTTACTTAACCCAAAAAATGCCTACACTTCCCCATGCAAAAGAATTAGCATTTTCCAGAACAGAGGGAGCCAAAGCTAAACATATCAAATGTACTCAAACTACAGCTATGTAAACAAAAGAACCACTTAGATTCTCATTAACAGTCAATAGGACTACCAAAACAAGAATTACGAGGGAATAATTATAGAAAAAGAAGTAAAGAAAATCATACTGGGAAGAATCCACACGTAGCTTTAGTGTTTTAATACGAAGACAGATCTGAATAACAAACAAAAAATGTCTTGAATGGCGCACAAAATAACTTTCAGACAAGGTGTATAAATCTGTAGAGAGCAGAATTTAACAATGTGGTACCTCTCCTGATGTACTGTCCAAAGAATACCATACAGCACCAGTCTGTCCTTCATTTTCCACAGGAATTGTCACTGAACCAAGAACTGCACTTTTCCAAATTATATCCCAATCATATACTGTCACATTAATCTGCCAATACAATTTACATAAAAGAATCAGTTCAAGAACCAGAACTACAGGTCACATATACGTTAAAATACCTAGACATGCACATTCAAGAAACATACAGAAAAAACTGCACTTATAAATCTGCTTATAATTATTAAACCCTGAAAATCCTTACATAGATTGGTATGCAATATTTTAAGAAGAGGTTGTATAGTTCAAGTTCTATGCTTAATCAGAGATAAATACTATAGTTTCAGGGAATGACATAAATCTAAGAGTTGTAGGGTATAACCAACACCTATATGGAAGTATCATATTTAATTGGAAAATTACTCATTCAAAGAAGCATTCCAAAGAAAAAGGTTCCAGTGAAGTTTTTCAGAAATCAAAATTATATTTGTACATATTCGATAGCCTAAACCACACAGTCATGTGCATCGGATCTATTCTATCCAGCATTATCTAATCTTTGATTTGTAAAGGGACAAAATAAGAAAGAGTTTTCTTTTGTTTTGATAACTAAAAGTTTAACGCATAATTGGTCTCAAGCCAATCATAGTGTGACATAAATGACAAGTCATATTTCACACTTCTAATCACACAAGTATGGGTGTAAAGCAACTACCTGTACAGGAAGATCATCCACAGAAAAGTTGAACTCTTCTCCCCACATTGGATTTCTAGAGCCAGGAACCATTGAACTGAAGACAATCACCAGATGAATCTTAAGGAAATGCATAAAAACCTTTGTATTAGTACGCAATAAAGGTACATCAGATCTCATACTGAGACATACAAATCGTGCATACAAGAAAAAAAATGAATATATTTAAAACTCTACCTGACCAGCACTTAGGTTACATAGCTCAAAATTGTAAAGCACCCACTAATGCAATTCTGAAAGACTTCATATGATCATAGAAAGCACAAAAGAGAACTACAGTTCCAAATGCAATAGTCATCATGCAGACAATTTTCTTTAAAGTAATTTATTCATTTTCCCAATGTGTATGAGATGAGAAACTGAAACCTAAAAAAATTGTGTATAATTAAGAAACAGTGGATACAGCTTGCGAAGTTAATAACAAGATGGAAACAAATATCACTTCCCACTAAAAATCAATTTGGAACAACCACATTTCACAGTTAAACTAAGAGAAAGTGCAAATCAAAAACATAGTATTTAGAAATCATTCCACTTCGTTCGATGGCTATACGACAAGTAAACAAAGCAAGCTAAGCGTAGATCTAATTCTATGCTAGAAATTCAAGGTGTATTTAGAAACCACAGAATAAAATAACAAAACATAGAAATCTTTTATGTTGCTAAAATCCCGTATTTAAATGAGTGCAAAATTAGCACTAAAATTAACCCTTAATGAAGTTTGTAAACACAGAAAAAATAACTACTAATATAGATCAATGATAAAAACAACCATCAATATCAAATGACATTGATGCTCACAAATATTCGTCTTCGTCCTACGTCATAATCAACTTGAAATTAGTAGAGGCATGCAGTGTGCCTCTCCAAAATCATCAATTCTTCAGGCCAAGACAAGACCAAATCAATTGCATTCACCTGAAGCGCTTTTCTACACCACAAGTGATAATTGCATAAGGATCTGATGTGCCATTCAAATTTGCGCCAATAAGATTTTTTGCTGCTAAAAGTTCCACCTGAAACTCATGATATGATTTCTTAAGCGTTAGTTGGACTAAGATAGTTACAAAGGGCTTTCTTATATATAAAAACAGTGCATGAATCTCAATGCCCGAAAATCCAAAGGTAGTTGCCAGCAATAAGAATAAAAGTTACCTTGACTAAATATGAGGAATTAGTTTTAGGGTCTCCATTAAACTGGCCCATCTACAAAATAAGTGCACAACTGCATGTCAAACAAGTGATAAATTACTCCGGGAACTAATACTAGTCAAAGAAATAAAATAGAACAGTAAACATCAACTAGATGGATAAGCCTTATTATAAAGATAAATAAGAACTCTCAGATATACAAAGTGCACAAGTAAATTTATGTATAAATAATAATTTTATATGCTATGCTGTTCATGTTTGCAATAATTGGCACCCAAAGTAGGTTATCATAATATCTTATCAATTAATATAACCCAATCTATCATAACCAATAGGTACATTTTGACAAAACTTGATCTAACAATTACCATTTCAGGAGTCCAATTATAGAAATCAATCATTAGATGAGAAAACTTGAGCCTGACACAAAATACGTAAACATTCTTCAAGTGCAACTTTTGACTTTTGTTGTGCATTTATAATCCTTGTCCTGAGTCAAACGTATATATAAACTCTTCAACCAAATCAAATATTCAACAAATAAATTTAGCCAGAAGTAGCTCTTAGTGGCCAAGCAATCAATGAGTTTTGGTGTCCACCAAGTTACGTATTATCATAATATCAAAAACTCAACAATATATTGCTAATAAAACGTTAATGAACCACCATGCAACTTGACAGCCAGTAGATTTTGCCATCAGTTATAAACTTCGCCAATCCTCAGGACAATTTCCACAACATCATATTATAAACGTTTATTATTAAATAATAACCATTTAGGAATTGTATTAAACTTTGAAATTAAATTAATATATTGGTTACTAAATTTAATGACAGTATTATAAACTAATATATAAAACTGATCCATTACTTCGGCAAACATAAAATTACTAAGAAGTATAAATTTTCAAATATTCGCATTCTTATAAATTTTCAAATATTCGCATTCTTACTAGTTACAATTAAAGTACAAAAATAATTAAATTTTAAGCTTAGCCAATAAAAAGCACTGTTATCTTCCTCAACTGCCCTCAAGGAGGAAAAAAAAAGGAAAAAAGAAAAAGAAAAACAGAAAGAGACGAAAATAGATGTCTTCAAGAGAAATTAACCTGATTTTTTATCAGGAAAAAAAATACAAATCAACGTCAAAGTTGCAACTATTAATCCAAAATAGCGAAAATAACAAATATGACCTTGTCTTCATCGTCAATTACATCTCCACTGCCACCAGAACCATCAACTGACATCCGATCAAGGCAAACGCCACACGCCTCGCTATCTAGAGTGAAAAACCAGTACGCCACCAACACGAAGGCCACTGCCACCACCGTGACTTGTACCTCCCACCATGAAGGCATCAGAAACTCCATCACCGCTTCCACCACCATCAGCTTATTCATGTTTTTCAAAATTCTATTGTTTTTGCTCGATTTCTCTTCCAATGGTGATCAAATTTCGCGTAAAACCATTCAATTATACGGTCGTGTATATATACTCGAGGAAGAGTCAAGTAAATGGGGAAGAAATTGCGCGAAAAGTACAAAATGTTGAGCCGTTTGCATTGACATTTGAGAAATATAAATATTGAAATTATGAATTAGAGAAAATGGCCTGAGGAAAATGAAGGGTATTTATGGAAAATGACTTAGAAAAATAGGGTAGAGAGAGCGACGTTCGCTTTGTGCTTAACGGAAAGCAAAGATCAAAGTTTTTGTTTGGAAGAAATTATTCGAAATAAAGATAATGATTTTTTAAGATAATATATGCTTAAAAAGGAAGAAATGTTACGAGTGCATGTGCAATATTATTTTATTAATAGAATATGTTATTGAAAATAAATTTAAGTTGTACCAAACAAATACCAAAGATTGCTCATCAAGCTCTTTCGTTGATACCTTTTAAGAGAAGTTGACGAATTATCTTGAAAATATTTTTGGAACATTCAATACAGGGTATTGAATTAAATTAGATTATAAAATATCTTGAAAACATCTCGTACACGTTTGGTACTGTTGATCAATTTTTTTCCCGATATGTACGTACTACTATAGAAAAATAAATTATAAGAATAATAGTGAAAATAGTTGTTTTCATAAAAGCTTGGTATATAATACTGAACAAGGTCTTACAAAACATATGTCATTAGAATTTAAATCCTTGTTTTAGTCCCATGTTTTGGGATAGTAAATTTTGAAATAATGACTTTTTGGAGAATATATGGTTAAAAAATAAAGAAATATTTTGAATTTAAATTTATATTTATTTTGTTGGGAGAATTTACAATTGAAAATAAATTTCAGAAAACATGAATATCAGAAAAAAGGAATTCAAACAAAGGCTAAATATGTACTGATGAAATACTCACGACACATAATTGTCGGTATTTATCTTATTTTAATTGGTTTCTATACATTGTCTAGATAGAGACCAATATCATGACATTTTTTTTACATAGTATAAATCGTACTTTGTGAGAACATTCCAATAAAATTCTCTTTAATGTTTCTCCATTCTGGATTG